CTTAACCGTCCTGTTTTATATTGTAGTGTCGGGGCTTTGATACAGCTGTGAATTAGAAGGCAATGGTTTGCATTGTAACTACCTATTTGTTCTTACGTGATTGTAGCTGTTTTATATTGTGGTCTGTAGTGTGCGCGTCCACGCGTGCACGGACGATTTTATATCATAGCCGAAGCTTTTCGTGTAGACCAGGGATAGCATCGCTGCATGTATCGATGGGCAGCTGATATCAGAAGCAGCTATGTGCGTTGCCGTGACAACCCCTCCATAGATGATCGCCCATAAGTGTGGTGACGTCATCGCGCATGGTTACGTCATTACGATGGCCGGTCCACTTCATGGAACGCGAGCAGACGACAAATTGTCAAATTTTGGACTGCCGCCGAGCTGTCTAGAAGGACCCCGGCGACCGCTGTGCATTGGTTGTGACTGCCGTCTGTTTTATATATATATTGTCAACGTGCCGCCATCTTGCTTTTTTAATATTATGCCGAGAGTTGGTCCGTTGGTGGCCGTGTGGTGGTGTCTGGGAGGTTGGAGGTTGGGAGGGGGGGTTATATTCGTGTTGTAGATTGGGGGGGTGGGGGGAGGTCGCATGGATTTCTCTCGCGCTACTGCTTTCACGAAATGCTCATCGTGGCTGTTCCGATCCTGACGCATGTCACGTCATGGCGTTTTTCGGTTATTAATCGCTGTTTGAATTCGGTTTTACGAGGAAATTTCGAAATTCTAGTATGTTTTTACAGAATGAATAAACCTGTTGTTGGGTGATTACACCTGAGTAAATCTCCCCAGGCGGACTGGGGTGGGGTAGTAGCAGGAGGGGTCGTGTCTATGTGTATTTTAATTTACTGCTGATTTAAGTTTGGCTGGACATATTGGTGTTATGGCCTCGCTTGCCAAGATTCATAATATATGCAGCGTTAATTATTGCGTCTTAATGTGTGAAATTCTTATTTACAGCGTGTACTTGAGTAACTAAAATGTTGTGGAGTGAACACGGAAGAGACTTTATCGAATGGCTATAGTTATATTAAATATTAGAGCTGCTTAGAAACGCTCGTGTTTTTAGATTGGATTTTTATCATTTTATCGGCACGTTTTATCGTTTAGTGTGATCGTGTGATATTTAGTGAATACTTTTATCCGAAGCTTCAGCGTCGTACTGGAAAATAATCGTTCACGTGAAATCACCGCAATCGTCTAATTATTATTTTCTCTCTCTCTCTCTCTCTCTCTCTCTCTTTCTTTCCCTTTCTTTCTTCCCCCTCCCCCTCTGTCGCTCTCGCTCTGTCTCTCCCTTTCTCTCTCTCGCTTTCTCTTTCTCATATTCTTTCTCTTTCTCATTCTTTCTCAATCTCTCACTCTCGGTCTCTGCTTTCCTTACTCTGGCTCGCCCTGACTATCTTAACAATCTTACTGTTATTCTTTCTTTATTCTCGCATGCCAACCTTGGGTATTAATGCATTTACTTGTGAGGGTGCTTAGGTGAACTGTGTGTTTCTTAGTATTTGCTGCTTACTTCATGCTACTGCTTGATTTGTTTTACTAGTTGCATATTGAAGATTACATTGAACTACTAACTAAAGATTTAATATTGCATCCGTTATTGATGTTTAAATTCGTTATGTATTAGGATTCATTGCGTGGATCTGTTAGGTTAAGTACGTGTGTGTTTTGCATAAGTGTGCTTTGCATGATATGTATTATGAATGTGAATGCATAAAGGTAAGTACATTTAAAGCAAGTGATTTTTCACCTTTCGATGTTTAATGATTACTTTTACCTAAACAGCAATATTCTAGTGTATATCTATATATGACCTGTTGGTCACTCACTCATAACAATATTATCTCACACACAAAGAGTCCGTCTTGTGTTGTTTGTCTCGTGTTCGCCGCGCAAATTCTTCGTGAACATCCGTCATTGTTCCGTGCGTAGATCCGCGGCCAGCGCTCCGCAGCTACGGACCCAGCCTCGGCATGAAGAAGTCCTCAAGCCTCGAGTCCTTGCAGGCGGCCGTGCACGACCTCGCTCGCTCAGAGGACGTGCTCGACCCCGGTGCGAACTACACACGACCTCAGGTGAGAGGGGGTCAGCAGGTGTGGGAGGAGAGCGAGGGAGCGGAGGTATGGGGGGAGAGAGAGACGGCAAGCGTCAGTGGGTTCCAGGGACAGTAAAGACTGGTGGAAAGCGGTTCGCGAAATTATTTCAGTTGAAAGTCGTAGTGGGTCTCAGATTCTTTGAAAGGAAAGTGTCTATTAAGTGTTTTCGTGTCTTTAAGTCTTCAATTGTCCTTTAAGTTAACTATAGTGTCGGTTGCGTTAAAACCAATCACTTTGTCATCGAGAATTGCTCTGACATCATGATATCTGTGATCTATGATGATATGATATCTATCCACCAGTGTGTATCTGTATGCGTTGACGTATATGCATCTAGCCATCACCTGAGCCGCTGTCTGCCATTGCTACAGGTGAAGGTCGTTAGAGGTCGCGGATGCAACGAGAGTTTCCGCGCAGCTGTTGATCGCTCCTACGAGGCAGCCATCGAGGCGGGCGTCGTGCTCGGACCGTGTACGTGTCATCACTTTACGTGCTCTTTACGCATCTCTCGCCATTGTCAACTGCTGTTTACAACAATGTTACTGTACAACTTCAACGCTGTTACAATTGCCACTACAATGGTCCACAGTTTTTTGAGTGATATAAGACAACATAAAAGAATACGTAGATAATGTGTGGAGTAGCATAATAGACAGATGATGTTATTATGTCTGTTATGTTCTTCCTGATTATATTAATAGAATTTAATTAATTGAATTGAATCACTGCAAATTGTATCTGTACAGCACTCTTGCCTGAAAACATTCGTATCTGTAAGATTGTGAGCTAGGTATGGACAGCAAAATCTAGCGCGAAAACGTGGAGATCAAGCAAACCAATATAGTCACTGGTTAGCTTTACCTGACGAGTTAATTTAACCATAAACACGAGTGATCACCGTAACGCACGTGAAACTGGTCCCCACTGCTCCCCCTGGTGGCTGGGGTGGCTACCATGCGCGGCGGTGACAGCAAATCGCCGCGACGACGACTGAAGCGCCCTCTGTGTTTTCTCCGTACAGTGTCCGAGGAGGAACAAGAGGCTATGCGTTTGAGGTCGGACTCTGTGTCGGGGTCACTGAGGTCGGTGCCCTCGGTGCAGGCGCACGCGGCGGAGAGACCGCACGCGGTCGACGACAAGCGCAAGAAGAAGAAGGAGAAGGAGAAGAGGAAGAGTCTGCTGAGAGGCCTGGGTTCCATGTTCAGGTGCGTGTCACATGTACATGTAACATGTAACTGTCATCGTGTCATGCAATGTCGCTGTCATCGTGTCATGCCACGTCGCTGTCACCGTGTCATGCCACGTCGCTGTCTTCGTGTCATGCCACGTCACTGTCATCGTGTCATGCCACGTCGCTGTCATCGTGTCATGCCACGTCGCTGTCATCGTGTCATGCCACGTCACTGTCGTCGTGTAATGCCACGTCGCTGTCATCGTGTAATTCCACGTCGCTGTCATCGTGTCATGCCATCATACATCAGCGATCCAATGAGTGGATATCATGAATGTTACTATTGCTGTTAATTACTGTAATCACTACCGCCACCGCCATCGTCCCGCCATCGTCAATATCACCACCATCGTGATCGACGCCGTCATCATTGCCATCAGCGTCAACACAACTATTATCATCATCACCATCCCCACAGTCATCACTATCATCAACACCACCACCATCATCATCGTCGTCGTTGCCATAGCCATTATAATCACCATCACCATCACCAGTATCATCATCGTCATCATCATCACCATCAGCATCGTCGTAGTCGTCGTCACCACCACCAGCATCGTCATCATCATCGTCGTCGTCACCTGCTCGGTGTAGTTGGGCACGTGTAGGTCGCGCGGCTGCCTCGTGTCGTTGCCGTCGTCGTATCCCGCTATCGTCTGCAGCAGCAGCGCGCAGTCTCGCACCGTCGCCGCCATCGGTCCCAGATGGTCGAGACTTCGCTCCATGCTGCAGGCGCCCGTGTACGGCACCAGCCCGTAAGTCGGCTTCAGACCCACGATGCCAGACCAGCAGGCTGGAAGCCTGACTGAACCGCCCTGGTCGGCTCCGATCGCCATATCAACCTTGCGTGCTGCCACCTGTTGGCGCAATACGTAATAAATCAACGAGTGCGGAATGTGAGCGTTTAGTTATGGGGAGTGATTGCCTGAAGTGGTGGGTGGGCGGTGGTGGGTGGGTACTTGTGTTGGAGTGGTGGGATTGTGGGGTGCGTTGGCGTGGGATTTATTTGGTCAGGGTAATGTGTATATTTGGGCATAAATATATTGGGGTAGGAAATATTTGCACTACCCTAAGGGCTGCACTGAGGGCTTACGTACCAGTGCTGCACAGCCTGAGCTGGAGCCTCCAGTGACATGGCCCTCCTTGTGTGGGTTTCTCACAGGACCCGTCCCACACATGGAGCCGCTGCCACTCAAACACATGTCCTCACACGCCGCCTTCCCTGAAACACGGTGACGTCATTGTACTGAGTGCAGCGGTGTATCGTGGGATAGCTAGATCTCGGAGGAATAATTCTTCGGGCATGATGCTCTGACTAGATGCATTAATGTTGGTATGTATATATGGGACTCGTATTGAGGAAATAAAATAGTACAACGGTTTGGTAGTAACACTATGTAAACTTAGAAATACAGAAAAGAGCAACTAATCTCATTTAGCTCTACAGTGAAATACCGTAGGCCTACTGTTAATGTTAGTTATGTACCGGTGATGTGTCCACCAGCATCCAGTACCCTCGTGACGACGGTGGCGTCGATGGGGGGCATTGTGTGACATCGTGTGTTGTTGTCACAGGGTCGGGCGTCACAAGAAGGATGAGGAGGAGGCTGGGAATCACGCTCCGAACGACGTTCTCGCTGATGAAGCTGAGAGGCAGCGACAGGAGAACCTCAGGTGCGTCCCACACCCCGGCAGCATCTGTGTCTCCATGGCAACCGGCATCCCTGTCTACATTCTTATCAGCATCTGTGTCTCCATGGCAACCTGTGTCCCTGTCTACATCGTTAGCAGCACTCATGTCTCTGTAACCACTTGCATTTCTGTCTACAGCATTAGCAACACCCGTGTCTCCATGGTAACACGGCATCCCTGTCTACATCCTTAGCTCTAACTGTATCACATATCTGTTTCTGTTCCTTCTGCGTCCCTGGCTGTGTTCTTAGTAGTCATTTTTGGCAGCATTATTCTCTTATCATTGACCTTACCTCTTATCAGTATGTTATCATTGACAGTAACCCTACCTACATGTCTGTCTCTGCATCCCCACCTGTGTCCGTAATAGTACATTTTGGCAGCATACTTACCTCTTATGAGTGGCCCTACCTACATGTCTGTCTGTACTTTTTACCACATTTATGCAAATATTACTGTAAGAACAATTTACTCTAGCGTTGTCATCACCTAATTAATTTATATTAATTACCATCCACACACCTTCACGCAGGCATTGCTGTAAGAAC